AGTGACCCCTCCTTGGGTTTCTGAGGCACCACCTCTACGGAAATAGATTGCCCAATCTTCCTTCCGAAGAGTGGGCTTGCCCCCCGAGCCTTCTGGTTAGCAGTCAAATGCCTTAGGCACTAGAGGTGTTTCTGTAAGGATTTAAGACACTGCCATCTAAATTCTCTTGATTGATCAGACTCAAACTAGTTGTTCTTTATTTCCTGAATTTGTGATGGGCCAGAAATATCCCCAACTCTGCTGGGTAGTTGTCAGGCTTTATCCTGAGATTTAGGTATTGGGTTCAGTGAGTGAGAAGGTACCTGGTTTATATCTCTGTAAGATGTGGGAAGAAAGACAGTTGTGTGGTGATGAGAGATGCCCCCTCTCTGGACACATACAACAAGCAGCTCTTGAATCCTATGATCAGGCATTAGAGATCTAGCTTGGTGCTGACATATCCATTCATTTCATTTCCCCTTCCTCTCACATATTCATTCATTTGTTCACACACCTAATCATTTAGTCACTCTTTTACTCATTAATTAATTCACACATTCATTTTAGCATTTAATGATTCCTATTAAAAAAAAAAAAAAAATCCAGGAGTCCCTGGGTAGCCCAGATGGTTAGGTAAGTGCTCAACTGCTAACGGAAAGGTTGGCTATTTGAACCCACCCAGAGCCAGCTCAGAAGAAAGCCCAATGATTTTCTGAAAAGTCACAGCGATGAAAACCCATAGGAAGCACAGTTGTACTCTGACACACGTGAGGTTGCCCTGAGTTGGAACTGACTTTGCTCAAGGGCATCAGGCAGTAGTCGCATTTGTTGTTGTTAGGTGCCACTGAGTTATTTTCAACTCACAGTGACTCCATATGACAAAGTAGAGCAGCCCCAGATGATATAATCTTCACAGAAGCAGACTGCCAAGTCTTTCTCTTGCAGAGCTGCTGGGTGGGTTTGAAATGCCAGTCTTTCTGTTAGCAGTTGAGTGCTTAACCATTTGTGCCACCAGGGCTCCACAGAGTACTAGCAGTAGTGGTGGTATAAAAAAACCAAGCCTGGTAGAGGATGAGACAGAGGATGAGAGAGAGAGAGATGACCTGATGTCCATCCTCAAACTCAAAGTCAAACACTGCCAGTGAGTCTATTCCAATTGATAGCGACCCCCATTGGGTGTCCAAGGCTGTAAATCTTTATGGAAGCAGACTGCCTCAGCTTTCTTCCATGGAGTGGCTGGTGGGTTTGAATTACCCACCTTTTAGGTAGCAGCCAAATGCCTTAACCATCAGACCATGAGGAACTTACAATTCCCATTAGATGCCACATTCAGAGCTCATTTTTTAACATTTAGGAAGCCTCATGTTGGCTTTCTGGTTTTGCTTGTGCATGAGGGAACCACTTTGGGTGACCCCGGATATTAGTTCCTGTCTCTGTGGTACACAAGAAAGGAGCCCTTCTCACTATTAATCTTGAATTTATTATCTTATTAGAAGTCAACGTCACCCTAGTAGTTTGGTAGAGGACTGGAGCTCATTTTGCTGCTCCCGATGCTTCCATTCCCAGAAAATAATCCTGAAAGAAACTTCTGGTTACAGTCATTGCTTAC